GGCTTGACTAATATGTGTGTTACCTCTTATGAAGAGAGAACTCTCCACTATGAGAAAAGACGGGGATAGAAAGAGGAGAAGAAAGAAGAGAGGAAGAGATAGAGAGACAACAAACTGCAGGTCAGTGGCAAGGACAGGTGGGAAAGGATTCTGAGGAGGCCATGTTCAAATCACTGAGTAGTTTCACTTAATCTTAATGGTCAGTAGCCACTAAAGGTTGCCACAGGGAGCAACATGAGAAAGGTTATTCTGCATGCATCTGGAAAGCAAGTGGGGGTGGAAAGCAAAGCATTCAGGAGTCTGTTACAATTCTCTAGGAAAGATATGATTTAAATGGACGTCTTAGTGTGGAGCTAAAAAAAGAGACTGCCAAATTTATGTCAACAGGGAGCAAAGTAAATTAACACTCACAAATGAGTTGGAAGAAAATAAAGAACAAACAGAAAAAAAAGAGGTCATGCTGACATTGGTAAGACAGTGTTAGTGGAAACAAGTTTAGCAATGTCTTAAGAAATTTATGTGGGAAATAAAGTCAATACTTTATTTTCAAGACAAGGCATCTGACCTGAATGAAAAGTTATTGGACCTACCTTGCTAATGCATTTATTTATGAGTTTACTGGTTTGACAACCATAAAGTTCATGCATCTGTTAAGTCCCTAGACAAATAGAGCAGTAGACCAATTGGAAGGGGGCCAGCAGAGAGAGGGATGAACCACAATGCAAAGAGAAAATAACAAAAACTGTGTACACACCAGAAAGCACACACACCCAGGAAAGCCTCCTTACCACAAGAGAATAACAGGGGGTATGGACAAACAAAACCCTCTTCTAAAATTCAACCCATCCCAATTAGTTTATAATTAAATTCACCCAATAGAAGATGAAACTTAAGCAAAGCGAAGTTGAGAAAAATTGTACACCTCATAGTACTCAGCTAATGGTGAAAGACACAAAGGATGTGCACATTAGGGAATAAACAGCTTGCTGCAACCTCAAGGGGTATGCCTGCCCATCTTGTAAGACAGCCATTAAAGACTCACTTCTTAACTTCTTCTCTCACATCCATTCTTTGAGCTCGGACAGGTGAGTGTGTTTCTCACCATTTACAAAAGAAATTAAGAATTGCTATTGAAAGAACAAATAGTTTGACTCCATTTTTCTGATCTAATCCAAACAGACCAAACAGCCTCTCTGAGGCTACCCCCATATCAGAATGAATTCAAACCAGAATAACCCAACAATCATCCCAACTACAGTTGCAAGCTTGGAGGAAAAAAAAAACAGATTTATTTCAACTGAAGTACTCAATACAAATTAAATCATTTCATCTCTGCTTCTAGTTTCCACCTCAAATTTATCATTCTCCAATTTATCCCTCACACTGCTGCCTGGGGGATCTTGCTGACCTATAGCTATAAAGCATCTTTCCACTCTGAAAAATTCTTTAAAGGCTCCCTATATCCTTCAATTAAAAAATAAAACCCAGGCCCCTGATGGTGACACTGCAAGTACTTCATAATCTGGCCTCTGCCTGTATTTGCTCTATGCATACTCAGATATGTGCATTTCCCTAGGCGTACCATGCACTCACCTGTTTCCTTGGTCATGTGCTTTTCAGTTCACCATGACACTTGGGACTGACTGTAATAAAAATTCTATCATTACATAGATATATAGATATGTATATATATAATAACTATTTACTCATTTGTTGATTCCACTGCTTAACTCAGTTCTTGATTCACAGTAAATATTCAATAAACCCAAAGAAATTTAAGGAAATTTAACAAGTACTTTATTCAGAAGAAGTTTAAAATATCAAAACACTCCATCAATACCTATAAAAACCAGGTGTTTCCATGCATTTATGTGGTCATGGAAAGAGAATTCTAGAAGTCTAATAGAAAGTTATGATGAGCTGCTTTGGCACCATGACCAGGAGCCGTGCCTCTCACTGGAGGGTGCTTGGAAATTTCTGCTATGTTGCCATGTTCACTTGAAAGGTTAACAGCTGTGCCTCGCTTTCAGCACTAGGCAAACAAACTGTACAGCAGAGGGTTGTAAATAGAACCATTGCCTGTGTATTTGGCACTGCTTCACAGTCTACCTAGGAACTTCCTGACAAGGCTGTCCTTGTGATTTGTAGAACATGACCAAACCACAATCATCACAGCTGGAGAAGTGAGCTAACAGTCCAAAAGGTTTTGGGGAGTGAACAGAAGTTTCTGCCTATCTTCGTATTAATTCATCATATCCATGTACTCTGTGTGTCATCTATGAAAAAATCATACATATAAATAAGATAAAATGAAAAGGACTCAATGATGGAATAATGTTTCATTTTATTTCAGTAAAAAAATAAATAATTTTCTTTTATTGTTAAGTAGTTGTACAAGGAGGTTACAATTCCTAAAGTCAGATTATGAGCACATTCAATGTTGATCAGGGTTGCCTTTCCATTATTTCCCCCCATTATTCCCACTCCCATTCATACCTGTAAATACTTTGATTTATTGATCAAACAGATTTTAAAATCATAACTAAACTGATTCACTGTGTCCAGCCCTAATACAAAATATGCTATTTGCCAAAGGTTCAAATTCAATTACCTGTAGTTCAATTTAACAAATATACAGTACCAAAATTGTTTTTAAAGTTTTAGGAAGGATTTATTTTAAACAGCATTAAAGTGTGAAGAAATAGAAGAGAACATGCCCTGTTCCTTTGCAGGAAATAGGAATTAAAGACTACAGTATCAAACATTTTTAAGGTAAAATATAAAGAAACAAAAAGGTTTCATTCTATGATCTAAGGAGAAGAGTACAGATACATAATTAGCAAAACCCAAGAACGACCCTCATTACTGCTAGGTGTAGTGTTTTGGAAAAAAAAAAATCAGTGCTACAATAAGAAAGATAAAAATGCATAAAAGTGACCTTTAAAGTTTTTAAAGGAATGAGATATACTCCACATGAAACTAGGATCAATGCTTAGAATTTTCAATAACCAGAAGTTAGTGGGACATTTACAAGACTCTCAAATGCTTGTAAATTAAAATTCATATATTCATATTATTTTATGAATAAATCACTGACAACTTATTAATTAAAGGAATATCTGACTAAAACCATGCACTGGAAAGAAGTTCATGAGAAAACCTCCAATGGTCTGTCTACCCCCGAGCCCCACAGGACCTAGACGTAAGGGAGACTATAGTCTAAGGAAGGTAACCTGGGTTGAATACTATCCAAAAGGAAAGAGCCATGCTGGGTAGAGATAAAGTGACCCAAATTCCTCTCTCCAGAAGAATTTTATGTTTTAGGGAGACAGAAAAAGCAGAGGAGAAAGGGAGTACAGGGAATCAAGTGAAAAAGAAAACTGAGCCCCAATTATAGCAAAGTATCTACATACAAAGCAACTAATTAATATAAAATACTGACTAGACTTCCTGCCTTCCTGCTAGTTCCACAGAACCTGAATGAAGTTCCAGTTCTAGTGTTTTAGACTCCTCTATTCAACTACCAAGCCGTTTTCCTACTTTCCTGTGTGAAGTTATTCATCACCAGAGGGAAACTTGAGACAACATTGAATTTCACCTAAAATCTGAATTCGGGAAAAACAATTACAATCAAAAACTTACACGTAACCATCTGTGTTCTGGGAAATGAACCAATATCTCTGCAAAGAACCATTCCTCTTCATGACTTACATAAAACCAGTGGATGACCCTTTGTAACATGTGATAATGCCAGGCACAGACCCACATTCCCATTTTGTTTTCTCGTATGTAATCATGTGAACTGTTTGTCTCCATTTTCTGTTGTAATGTGTCAATCCTGTTAAATAGATTTGACCAAACTTCAATTGGTCTTCTCTGCTCCTCCAAACCCCTGAACTCTGGCCCACCTTTGAGAAATGAAGGTAAATAACTTCTCTATGATGAATCCTCCCAGGAATCAACTATCCAAGGTAGAAATATATCCTGATTACCTGTCTAATCATGTCATCCCCTCATTCCATTCCCATGTCTTTCTTTCCTTATTTATAGAGAAAAACCATCTCCTGCTTGAGCTTTTATATGCTTATAGATCTCACTGTAAGCATCTCCCTGTTGTAATATTCCTCCCATCATGTCAATTGTCTTCTTTTCTTTATTTTAATATGTTTTTGATAAAAGCTGTCATTACCTAAGTCTAAATTTGTTTTTATTTACACTTTCAACATGCAAAGGAGCCTAATTTTAAAACACAAAATAAAACCATGAAATATCCTCATCATAGTTTTTATTTTTTTATAAAATCACAACTATTATATCTGTTCATATGTAGCCACAAACTAAAATACAAGAGATATAGAATTCTATAAAGAATACACTATATTTTCACCATTATATAAATAGAAAAAAACTGACTATACTTTAAACTATTAAAATATTCCTGCTAGCCAGATGCCAGTGGCTCATGCCTGCAATCCTAGGTACTTAGGAGGCTGAGATCTGAGGATCTCAGTTCAAAGCCAATCTCAGGGCCCAGGCTATGAATTCAAGCCTGAGGACCAGAACCAAACAATTGAAGGTTTAGAAATCATAGAAATAATTTCTTTGTATTTAACTTTTGACTGCTATAATTCAATCATCTCTTTACAATCCTTTCAAAACATGGAAGACACTTGAAAAAGTTCTATTTATTTTGACCGATTAATAACGCAAGTATGAAACTAACAACCTAACTAACTGCTAAACTTTCTTCCAAAAATTTTTCTCAAATAATATGTCACTTCTGCAGAAATCTAGTACCACAGGCTCACCTTAACACCATTCACTCTAGTTGTAGCACACAGGTAAAATAAATCCATACTTTTAACCAGGAAGGAAAATGCATAAGATATTTTCATATCAGGAAGAATGTCTTCATAAATTACTTATATTTATGCTTATGAAAGCATTTGAAATAACAATATTCAAATAGCAAACTATATCAGAGAGGATGAACAACTTACCTGCATTGACTATAGCATCTATCTCTAGCAATGTGATGTCACCTCTGTAGAGAGAAACTTTCTCACTCAAACTTTTCTTCACTAGTGATGTTTCCTGAGTAGTTTCCTCTGTAATAAAAGGGAGATACATATTAATATCCCTAATAGCCAACGTTTTTTAAGGACCAAGAGCTGGACTCAAAGTTGGTTCCTGAGCTTTTGCTTATTGGTTAGTGTTCTACCAACTGAACCATGCCTCCAACCTCAATAGACAACTTTTTAATAAAGACAACTTAAGAACCAATATGAGGTGATGATTACCTTACTCATGTAACTCTAACCCCTCTGTACAGTATCTTTACAATAAAAAATATATACTAAAAATAATAATATTGCGAAACAAAAGATACTCAACATAATAAAATACTTGGGCAATTTTGAGTTACCAAAACAAAGAACAAACGTGAGGCATACTCTTTTGAAAAGAACAGGTAGGTTCATTCCTGTAATCCTAGCTACTCAGGAGGCTGAGGCCCAAGGATGGTCCCTCAAAGCCTGGGCAGGGAAGTCCAAAACACTTTCATCTCCAGAAACTACCAAAAAGTCTGAAGTGGAGCTGTGGCTCAAGTCATAGAATTCTAGCCTTGATCAAAAAAGCATATGGATAGCTCCCAGTCCTGAAGTTAAGCCCCAGTATCAATCAGTACAAAAAAAAGAAAGAAAGAAAGAAAGTAGAAGATAGTATATGAGTACCAGAGATACGGTTTACTTTTTATTTTATATTTTTAAATTCAAATGCACTATTGTATACATAGGGACATTCAATAGATCTGAACAAGTTATATCGCAAAAACTCAATATTTCTGACATTGTCCCAAAGAAAAAGAAAAGAAATGAAATGTATTCATTATCTGACTAAAATGGTAACTCTTTTGCACACTTTAAACAATAAAATTACATCTTTAAAGTCAACATTTATTATTGATTTTATTACAGAAATACCCATTTAAGATAAAAACATACAACACTCCATTCACAAGGATATAAAAAAAAGATGTGCAAGCATACAGACAAAAAATAGATTTTTACAGTGAAAGCAATTATGTCTATTTTTACCAGCTACTTAAAAAACACCTTTCAAAGAATACTTACTTATACATATTAAAGTCTGCTTTTTGCTACTTCCAAGTAAAAAGCTGTCCCTAAAGATGGGATGTTTCTGGGATGATTGGATTTGTGAAATTACTCCTTTCTTACTAAATTGGATTTAACCTTTCACTCTAGAGGGCGCTGCTAACCACAAAAAAAAAGAAAGAAAAGAAAAAGAAATGGCTCTACCCAACACACACTGTCAGCAAATTGTATTGCCAAGAAGTCATTGTGTTCCGCAACATGGTTTTGTTTATTCTTTTTTTTTGGTTTTGTTTATTCTTTAATAAAACTTTGAGTAATAAGTAAATAAAACTCAAAACATATTTTAAAATGTAAATATTTTAGATGAATATATTTGTATTGTATTATTGTTTAACAAACAGCAACCCTAACAAACTATTAAATCGCCTAAACTATTAAAGATGTACTATGTATTATTATGAATATAGTTCTAGTAAAGCTGGTTAATAAACTCAAATTTCTTAAAGCATTTCTGATCTGTTCAAGTCTTTCATGGTGGAACATAAGGCTACTCAATTACTAAGATGCTGTTAGATAAGCATGCAATTTGGATGATTAGAAGTATGAGTTACTTAATGCTAAATTGCCTTTGGGCTCCAATAGCCATAGGGGTAGAGGAAACTGGCAAAAAAAAAAAAAAAAAAAACTAAGGAAGTCATCTGTGGCCACTAAAACTATCCTTCTTTCTATAAAATATGCTCTTCTTAGCAATCACTTTAGTCACCTGTGGCAATACAATAGTATTGTAAAGTTAAGAGAGTTTAAGATATAAAATATCTATAATTAAGTAGATCATTTCAGAGACTCCTAGAGTACTATTTTCCTCTGGCAGGTAATGGTTAAATTAAAGCAGACTTCACTACCAGACTGAATGTTCATTTCTTAGTTCTGCCAATCAGCAGCTGTGAGATTTTGAATAACTAATTTAGTTTTTTCATGCTTCACTTTGTGAAATTTCTACACTCTACACAGTTAACCTGAGTTCATTACATTAAATGTTTCTCTCACTATAAGTTATTGACAAACATCACTTTTTTCTACAAAGTAGCAAATATTATTTCTGCATCTGCATTGTTCATGCATGGATTACACTTATTCAAAATGTTATTTTAATAAAGCACTACTGTTAATTATCATCATTACCAATCATCTAAAGAGATAGTATTTTGTAGATGCTCATCCCACATTGTCACTGTGTTCACCAATGACAAAGACTCAACACAAGACCTTGACTTCCCTCATTTTATGATGATAAAGTTTAAAAATCTTGATTTCCAGGTAATGATTGCTAGATTACAATAAGTAATAGCTTTTCCAGACAATTCATTGTAAACCTAGAAATTATAAAAGACCCCTCACTGAGCATGAGTTTCAAAGCTTCTAAATATTCTTGTTTTGTTTTGTTTTATGGTGCTGCTGGAGTTTGACCTCAGGACCTGGCATAGCTACCAGTTAAGCCATGTACCCAGCCCTTTTACTTTAGTTACTTTTCAGGAAGGATCTTGAGTCTTTTGCCCTGGCTAGCGTGATCCAAAGTCTTTCTACTTACACATCAAATAAATAGCTGGGAAGACAGGCAAACATGAATCACTATGCCCAGCTTTTTGGATGAGAAGTAGTCTCCCTAACATTTTTGCCCAGGCTGGTTTGGATTTATATTCCTTCTGATCTCTGCCTCCTGAGTATTTGAGATCACAGGATTGAGTCTCTGCCCCTAGCAACCTTAGTAATTTTACAGTATCAGAATATATCTGATTCAATGCATCATTCACAAATATGACATTCTAGCAAAAAATGGATTATAAACTGATTTTTCCAATTATGCCCTAGTACAAGGAGAACTAATTCTTATTGAACTTATAATTATATTGCTATGAAAATAAGTATACTCAATAAGAGGTTCTAAGACCTGGAATATCAGGTATTGAGAGAAGACAAAAATATTTCATTAATTTTGTTTGCTGCTTATTTTCTTAGAGTTGTTTACTTGTTGGCTTGTTTTTTGAGACAGGGTACTTCAGGCTGGCCTCAGCTCTCTGTATCCTAGGCTGGCCTGGAACTCATTATCCTCCTGCCTCCATGAACCACCATACTCAGTTCATTTCCTTTTACAAAAACATAAAAGCATAATATACTAAATTACCATGATTTATAGCAAACTTGAGAAAAAAAAGGTTGCTTTACATAAAGTGCTAAAGAACCAGCAATATTCAAAAATGATCATTAAAGAATTATTATCACTTTTCTGTGTGTGTGTGTGTGTGTGTGTGTGTGTGTGTGTGTGTGTGTGTGTGTATGTGTGTGTGTTGTGTAGTCCTGGGGCTTGAATTCAGGGGCCTGGGCACTGTTCTGAGGATATTTGCTCAAGACCAGCACTCTAACACCTGAGCCACAGTTCCACGTCTGGCTCTTTGAAGCCTAATTGAAGATAAGAGATCCACAGACTTTCCTACATAGGCTGGCTTCAAACCATAATCCTCAGATCTCAGCCTCTTAAATAGTTAAGATTACAGGTGTGAGCCACTAGCACCTGGCTGTTATTAGTCTTTATTGTTCATTCAGTCCTTTGTAATTGATTCTTCTGCATAATCTTGGATAGCATTTTCATGGATCCATCAGCTTTCTACTATTCCTGCAATCCACAATTACTCCAGTTCATTTATATTTACTTCTCACTGACTTGTAAATTCCTTTCAGACTTCTTTGCTGTCTGGTATGCTCCTGTCAATTTTCAGTTCAAATAAACTTAAATAGTTCCTAAGTGTTCATTTTATATTTGTATGAATCATAACCTCATCTGCATAAAAGCATTTCCCTCTTACTGATACTTTTGTTTAGTTCTAGATTTTATTGAACTGCTTGTACAGAATTTATTCAACATGGCTGAGTACCCCTTTCCAGATTGGACTGGGGTCTTTGTAAGAGGAAGAAATGTGACTCACAGAGATATTTGGCAGCAAGTGTACCCAAATAGAGAAAGAGTGAGTTAGGCTACAGTTAGAAGGCAGCATTTGTAAGACAAGGAGAAAGCCTCTGGAGAAACTAAACCTTCCATCACCTTGATCTTGGATGTCCAGCCTCCAGAAATGAGAAATAGTTATATATTTAAGCCAAAGAAAGAATTTACATATCATTCTAAAGCTTAGAAATATTAAATCTTATGATTGTAATAAAAATACATGTAGTCAATGCTCTTACTACTGTACTAAAGTATACAGAAATGAAGCAGTTTGATCAAGCATACACAACTGGCAAGTACAAAATGGATTTGAACCCAGGCCATGTTCTCACGTGGTATGCATAAATAGGTTCCCATGCACCTATTTAACAATAATAATAATTGGTTTTTAGAGTTATTATTACACTTTGGTGGAAAAAAGTACAAAGGGCTCAGTGGTTTCTACTATTAATTGACAAATTTTATATCATACAACACAATAGGGACTAGAAAACCACATAATAAAAACAAATTTCTTTTCCAGCTCTCTTAGCTCTCTTTCCCAGCTCTCTCTCTCTCTTTCCCAGCTCTTTCCCAGCTCTTTCCCAGCTCTCTTTCCCAGGTCCTTAAGGCCTTTTCCAGCCACATGGAGGGTAAACATGGCCTGGTGCCAGCCAGAACGACGAATAAACCTACCCCTTACCTGAATACCACGTGCGTGGTGCTATTCTTACTCAGCAACCTCTTTTTAAAAACCTAACATAAATGGTGCCATGACTTGGATAAAAGGCTTAAAGTCAAGATAGGTGGGATTCTTCTCCAGCTCTGAGGAATACCCATAGCTCTGACGGCCTTTTGCGAACTGGTCTGTCTGCTGCAGACTCAGCGCATCGATACCATTGCTGGCCTTCACATCCACGTCCACACCACTTCTCTACTCTGGTGAGTGAAACTACTCTCTATGGTTCTCTGTTGCTCAGTCTCTGTCCAGACGTGGCATCACGCCAGAGAGCTCCTA